ACAAAATTATAAAAACCAACCCAGAAGGCTAATGAGAATGATAAAAAACAATGGTACCTCTTTTTAAATTATTAGTTTCTGACTGGTTGTTTGTACAATGGCCAAAATATTGAGTGAGCACTATGGCATACAGTCAACATTTTAAATCTGCCCATTGGCCCCAAAACTTTACCTATTTTTTCTGTTTATGAATGGTGTATTGATTTTTTAAAATGTCATTTTCTAAAAAAAAATGCTATGATTTTAATACATTGTGAACCACCCTTGGAAAATCCTGGATAAATGCCTTCCCATAGACTCACCTGAGGGATATTAACAGGCACCTTAGTCAGATTCCTGTTTGAGCAAATGACTTGATGCTTGATGCTATCACAGGTACAGATTTGTGGGCAGTTTTCAGCAATCAGAATTTCTGTAATCATTGCTGTTACCAGGAGAAAGTTGGCAGAAGCCCACATCCTGGAAAGCAACAGACTTGGGAAAAGAAAGGTATTTATTGGACTACACTCAGGTTTTTGCCTACATACAAGGTAGAGCAACAGCAAACTTAAATTTCTGCAGTGTTTTAACAGCTTTCAACACACAGAACAGCAGCTTGAAGAACTGTGAAAAAGGGAATACCTAAGCGATAGAAAAGAAGCAAAATCAGGTAACAAACAGCTTTTCTCACATCTGTATTAGTTGCTGTTTTAGTACCCTGTTTCCCCCAAAATAAGACATGCCCTGATAATAAGCCGAATCGGGCTTTTGAGCACATGGCAATAAGGCCAAGCACCTTTTTCATTGTTCAAAAAAATATAAGACAGGTTCTTATTTTTGGGGAAATATGGTATCAATAGTTGATTTTTTGTTACCATGGCAAAAGTATTTTTCATATTTCCCATATTTTTGTCTTAATTTATAAGCAAAATTGGCAAACATAAAAGCAGTGATGATAATTAAAGGCCGATGGCCAAAAGAAAAAGGAAGGCAGAGATACATTCTAAATGACCATAATTTTTTTTTGCAAGCAATTTTTGGAGTTCTGTTTTTTTCCTATAAGTTCTATTAATTGTGTTTCAGTATAATATGTGTTGCTTGATTTTGGTTTGGAGTGTTTTAGGAATTTAGCCAATTGTAGTTTATTTAATAGACCAAGATTTAGCACAGGCATGGGTAAGCAGATAGTTTTGTGTGGATGTAGTCCCCACTACTAGCAATTAGGTGTTACAGTTTCCTGCCATTTAAAGTTAAGAAATGCTAAAACATTGAAAGAGAAACAGTAGTTCAAAATTAAAAACAACAGCAAAACAACAATAACCTCTTCCTTCCTTCACTGAAATCAAAGGGAAAATGCATATCAGGGGTCCTTAGTGTTCTCTGAGCTTGGTTTTTTTCTTGCAGATGTTTAATTACCCAAACTAGGTAACATCATCAGTGCTAGTCATGCATATCCTTGTTTGACCCATTCTGCATCATAAATTCAACTACTAGTAACCTAGTAACCTAGTATTGATGCCCTGGCCATCAAATAAGTTTCATATACAAGCTCAGCACAGTATATTTATTTACTCTATAACCACAGTATATTATATGCCAACATCCATCAACCAACCAATATTTTGTCGACTGAGTTAGCCAGTAGTAATTGAATGGAAAGAATATCAGTCGATTGATCACTATTTGTTATTTCTGTTTCCAGTTGGCCAGTACCGAAATTAACTCTCCTGGGCTTCTGAGATTCTATGAATCAACAGCAGCACTTACTCCTTTTTTCCAAACAAGAAAAATATGTTTCCAGAATCTCCTTTACTCTACCCTACAGGGGTGTTGGAATACAGGTGGATATTCTCTATATTCTTAATAAGCAACCCTTTAAATTGGACAATGGCAGTGCACTTTCTCAGATTTTGGATGGCAGGCCTACACTTGCATACAATCAATCCGCCCATTGATGCAGATTCTCACAAGGAACAGCAGGATCACTGCTAACATAGGAATCAGACGTTACAACAAACCCAACTGTCTTCTTTGCTCCCATCTATACCAATAGCACTATTACAGTTCCCAACACAAAGTTATAGGTAACTTCCCATGGTGTTCCTTTGATGTGATATATGCCATTATCCACCAGGAATGTCCCTTTGAATGCTATGTAAGATAAGCAGGACAAACAAGATCAATGAACACAAGGTTGACATCAGGATTTAAAACACAGGCAAAGTAATATAAGAGCACTGCAACTTCCAGGACAATGCATAGAAGACCTCAGAGTGTGAGTTTTGGAAAAACTGGACTTTAACAGTACTATTAATGAGGTGATTGCTGAACTCACATCAAAAAGGCACTCAGAAAATCTCAACAAATACAATGTTTTTGTTTTAAAAAATACAATTATTGATTTACTTGTATATGTAAGCCACATAAGTACAAACAATCTATCTTCCCCACAACTTCATCCTGATTTAAATCTTGCATCAATTTATGCACTTTATGCATCCGATGAAGTTTGTGCCTTTTAGTAATTTTAAATAACCCTAAACAGCATTTAATAGTTCTTCCTCCAAAGAGGTCAGTTTATTTACTTTTTCCTAACTTACCTTTGTCCCACTAGGTTAAGGCCAGTAAAGATGAGGTTAAAATTAAGAAAATGTTCTTTCCTACTATGGTAGCTAAAGTTATGTGAACTTTCCTGGAGCACTAGCAGAGCTGAATGAGCTCTTGTTCAGCAGCAGTTTTTTTTCTCCCTCCCTCCCTTTCTCCTCCTCCCTTCAACACACATCAACAGAATACTTTGATGTCTGTGCCATTATGAAAATGCCACAATTATGTTAGAATCTTTCAGGCTATCATTCATAGAAGCTAAATGGGAAGAGGCTGGAAACCTATTCAGGAAGTGCATATTATTGGTATTGATAAGTATGGGTTTGTTCCCTGCAGTTGTGGCAATGACTACCAATTTCAGCAGTTTTATTTTTTTATTATATACAAACACCAATATTTATAACCAGTTGCAAAAGAACAAATAATAAGACGTATAGAGCCTACTACAGATCAGAGTTTTATTTATTTGTTTGCTTATGATCAATGAGCAGCAAATAGCTACAAGACTAAAGCAACGTATAAAAGCAGATTCAAATATAGCATGAGCAATAAAACCACTGTCTAGATCTGCCAATTAAAATGTAATTGTATAAAAAGCAAGCAAAAGAATAAAATAAAATGAAGCAAAACAAAATGGATAAAATAAAGTTTAGATAAAAGGACTTCCTCATGATATTATTTCCAGATCAGATCAGTGCTAAGAATCTGGCAGCTCTATTCAGACAGACATGCAATATCAGACTTTTTGGCAAATCTCAGCTTTTGTTTTCTCTAGGCATAGAGATAGCAAAGAGTGGACAGAAGGGCTGCAATAAACCGGCTCAGCTATGATTTTTACTTTCCATCTTGATGTGATGTCATCAAAGACAAAATAGCAAGGTCAATGGGTCAAAAAAGAAAAAAAGAAAAATAGAGATTTGAGCCAATAAAGGAGATGGCTAACATGAATCTTACCTCCAGTGGGATTATTCCAGTACCCATGCAAATTAGAGCCTTTGGAACACAGTATGAAATCTGGAAGAGAGTTCACCATAGCATCAGGGTTTGAGATACTTGTAGGTACCGGTATATATCTGTGCACTGTATAGCATTTGGGATACAGGCTTAGCCTTAAGCAGCTTAATAGAAGGCAGTAGGTATCTATCCACTTTAGAGTGAAAAAAAGTCCAGGATTGTCTTAGTACTATTTATTGGTTTTGGGAGAGATAGTTCTACATTGTTCCTGCTACATTCAGAGGCTTGAAAAATTACTTCAAGATAGTTAAAAGCTGGAACTTGTTGTTTTGTTAGTTCCTTCTGCCATTGGTGTTTATGGTTGCTGGGTCTTCTTCAGAATCCAAAAGAATTCTGGAAGGGCCACAAACTTTCCTAAGTCCCTCTGAGTAAGGGAGAGAATTGCTAGGTTATTATAATATAGCATTGCCAAATGTCTGCCCTTGAGTATAGGGGTGAGGGTGATAACTCTTTTTCGGTAAAAACAACCACCATCAAGTTTACAGTGGTGCTTAAAAGTTTGTAAATCAGAAGTATTCAGAAGTCAATTTTACAAAAGTCAGTTTGTAAAATTGACTTCTGAATATTGCCCAGAAAACTACACAATTCCAGTTAGCAGTAAATGTTACTTTACACACATTGTAAATATAATTATGAATTGTGTTTACACGGAAAGTAAATCAATCCATGCGAAGACTATAACTTTGCAGTATAATTCAAGTATTATGTGCTTTAATAAATATTGAGCAAGACAGAATTCCTTTTTATGTCCATAGTGTCTCTGAAATTGTGGACTGATTTTCATTTTAACAGCACCATTTATTTGGGAGGGGGGGGAAGCAGTACTCATAGGCAAATCCTCCAATAGTATTTTTATTTGTGCGTTAGAAATGATTAAGATTAGACTAAACTAATAGAAATTGAATTAAATAAACGCGATCTGCTATTGCCATGCCTAGATTTTCTAAATAGTTTTCCAGTAAAAGAAATTGGCAGACGAAGCTCTTTTCTTGCAAGCCTCCTCCCTTCCCCCAACCCCCTCTAAACTACTTCCTGAGCTCTGAACATGCGTGAAGATCCTCGCTTCGGAGCTAAACAGATGTATCACGTGACAGATGACCGTGTACGACGGAAATGTCCGAAAATTAGAAAAAGTGGGCTTAATTTGCATTCCCCTCATACATTGCGCCAAAGTCCTTTTATGTTCGGATGTTTATTCTTAATTTTAAGGTTTTAATTGATAGAGTTTGCAGGGACAACTGTGAATTTTCACCTCTTCATCATGATATTACATTTGGCATTTTAGTTTGATATTAAATTGATATTCACCATCAAAAAACGAGCTGTTGCCATGCGCCCCTGACAGTAAAGCCTCAGCCCATCCCTCATTGGATGCTAGCGAAGTTTATGGGTCTTGCGAGGGTTGCCTCGTAGGGAATAGTCCTTTGTTTATGGCTACTTTTTTGAGGCTTTACTCTGGTAAAGCTACAATAGGCTGCTGGAAAACAGTTACTTCAGGACGTTATTTGGGTTTCAAGTATTGTTATGCTCTGTGTTCCTTATATGGCTGTTACTTAATGGGTAAATGGTTTTTTAAGCTTCAGCAGAGAAATATTTTGGGGGGAAATGCAGTTGTTGGTCCTTATCTTAATCTTTTCAATTCAAAGTTGCATGAATATCTTCTGCTTTATAAAATTTATTTTTTATTTTGCCGTTCATATTTCCTTAACTAATTTATTTTTCCTATTTTTGTTTTACTATAAAAGACAGAATTCATCAGTTTTTCAAATCTTTGTTATATTCAATACAAGTAGTCCTCAACTTACGACAATTGAGCCCAAAATTGGTTACTAAACAAGACAGTTAAGTAAATTTTGCCCCGTTTTATGACCTTTCTTGCCACAGTTGTTAAGTGAATCGCTGCAGTTGTTAAATTACTAACACAGTTACCGTAAGTGAATCTGGCTTCCCCATTGACTTTCCTTGTCAGAAGGTCGCAAAAGGGGATCACATGACTGAGAGAAACTGCAACCCTCATAAATATGAACCAGTTGCCAAGTGGCTGAATTTTGATCACATGACCATGGGGATGTTGCATCCCCATGAGGTGGTAAGTGTGAAAAAAGGTCATATGTCACTTTTTTCAGTGCCATTGTACCTTTGAACGGTCACTAAATAAACTGTTGCAAGTCAAGGACTACCTGTATATTTATTGTATTTAATTATCCAATTGAATACAAACTATAAGCAGCTACAATTCTACCATACACCAGGATTAAAACAATACAAATAATAAAAAATAATTTGATCAAGACCAAATAACAATGAACATCAGACAACAAAGATTTTGCTTCTTGAACATTTTTGGGTGTATTTTATAGATTTTTGGCTGTTAATCATTAAAATATCCTATAATTTTAACCTGTCACATACCTTTTTATAGAAATCTGGTTTTGCAGTTTCTTACATTTTAAGTTTACTAATATTTGTTTGCATTATAAGCAGCTTTGTGTAGTTCATACATGTAGAGGCATGCATTCAGGGCATGTTGTATAAATTTATGGAACAGATAGGGTTTGGACAGGCCTAGGCATGCTTGGGCTGGATGGATGCTGTCTGGGAAGGTTATAAAAGCAGCTCACATGAACAGATGCTACTCATTTTGTTGATATCAGTTTCCATGTATTTTGGTATGATTGTTTCAAGGCATAGCATTGCCAATGTACATGGATTTAAATAACAAGTAACCCAGTTATAGACTTGCGGTAGGATGATTGGTGGCAGCAGAAATGTCTTGCAAATGTTGGAAGAGCCATGATAGGTTCTGCTACATATGTGGCAAGTACATGGTTAATCCTCAAACATGCACCATGACTGGATGTAAGAAAGCATATGAAGCTGGGTTGTAAAAGTGGTAATTAAGACAAGGTCTGGGCTCCTCTTATTTGTTGTGCAAGATTTGCTGTTCATATTTGAACTCAGCTTGAACTGGCTTAGAATTCAGAAGCCAATGCCCCTTCGCTGTCTTGATCTTATGGTGAGAACAAAATGATGATATCATAGACTTACTCCTAACTAATGTCACTGGTTTCTCTGCTAAAAATCAGAAATCAATTAAACATCCCAATCTGCCATGAGATCAGTGCCACATGATGACAATTTGCCACTACTGAAGCCACCAGAGACAATGGAGCTTACATGAAACAGATGAAGATACTGCAATGCACCAGCCAGGCACAGACAGTTACAGTGATTTGGATTTTGAACTGGTGAGTCTCATCTCATAACACAGAATTAAATGACCTGGTCAGGGACCTGGATTTGTAACAATCTAAAGCAGAACTCCTGGGTTCAAAACTGCAAGGGTGGCGTTTGCTATCACCAGATAGGAAATATCTGTCTTTTGAAACTGCCAAGATGATTTAAGAAATTTCTTTGCACAGGTTGACAACTTTGTTTTCCTTACTGACATTGTTTTTTCCACAGCTTTGCACTGTGAGCAAAACTCACTAGAACAGCATCTCCTTACTGATTCATCATTGTTAACCCTCAAGGCTGTCTCATTACACAATGGCAATATACAACGTTCAGTACCTGTTGACTATGTGGCACACATGGAAGAAGTATATGAAAACATGGAACTGTTGTTGAAGCAGATCCAGTACCGAGTAAAACTGGAATGTAGGTGGAGATCTAAAATGGCTGTGGCTGCTTGAAATGCAGCCCAGATATACCAAGTACAGTTAGTCTTCAACTTACAACCACAATTGAGCCCAAAATTTGTTGCTAAGTGAGACATTTGTTAAGAGACTTTTATTCCATTTTACATCCTTTCACAGTTGTTAAGTGAATCACTGCAATTGTTAAGTTAGTCATACGTTTAAGTGAATCTGGTTTCCCCACTGACTAACAGAATAACATGAGATAGAAGAGACCTTGGAGGTTGTTGGAGGTTAGTAAGAACCGTGTTATTTCTATTCATGAATTACTTGTTTAGGACGGAAGGGGAAAAGAAGCTGTCATATTACTTGAATAGAATAAAGTTTATCGATTGTAACAATCAGTGAGTAGTTTAACATTTCCATCAAAAGCTAAGCTTATTGTAGGTAGGTAACAATAGAAAAAAAATGCCACTGCTTTTTTCTTTTCAATCTATTAGTCTAGAGCCTAAACCTCTGGAATTATCCTGGTAGACTCCCATTTTAAGTACTCAGAATCTCACTTAAATTTTTTCAAGGTTGACTATAGTTGACTAGTAACTACCATCTAGGTGGGGAACAAAATTTAAACACCAACTGGAAAACAACCATTTCCTCTAACAGAAGAAATTACAAATGGAAAAAAGAAAAATAGAGCTTTTGGAAAAGTTAGCATTTGAAATCTATACATTAGTGAACACCATTTATGGAAGTACAATACCTTACTTCCAAAGACACTTATTCAGATAGCCTAGTCAGAATAGGACAATGTGCAAGTTTTCAAAAAACGACCAGTAGCTGACTAATGTTATTGTTTTTATGGAAATTTGCTGAGAGATTTGTCTTTTAATTTTAATAAGCAAATAAACACCCGTTAATCAAGAATAATTTGCAACATGTTCTTCTCTAGTTAGGCTTTGAAACAGTTCATAAAAGAATACATGTGGAAAAATACTATGATTTTGAAATATAAAAAAGGAAATTAAATGGAGGATTATAGGAATTTATTAGACTTACAGGTACAAGAAATCCTTGACTTACTACCACAATTTAGGCCTCAAATTTATGTTGCTAAGTGAGAAATTTGTTAAGTGAGTTTTGCCCCATTTTTGTCACATTTCTTAAGTGAATCACTGCACTTTTTAAATTAGTAACACAGTTAAGTGAACCTGGTATCCCCATTGACTGCTTGTCAAGTTTGCAAAAGGTGATCACATGACCCTAGGACACTGCAACCGTCATATATGTGAGTCAGTTGTCAAGCATCCGAATGTAAATCACGTGACCATGGAAATGCTGCAATGGTCATAACTCTGAAAAATGTTCGTAAGTCACTTTTTTCTGTGCCATTGTAACTTCTAACAGTCACTAAATGAACTGATGTAAGTCGAGGACATGTATTAACTAGCACAGCAGAAAAGTAGACTTTTTGATAAAATCTCCTTTATCTTCACCATTTTTTCCCATTTGAAAAGGACCAGGAAGAAAAAGAGGGAGAAATAAAACCCAAGGCCAGTCAAAATTGATTACATTTATTCTGAACTACTATTTTAATTAGACAGATTTATATTTGTAAGGCAGTTATCACTAACAGTCATTTGCAGACCACCAGTAATTGTCTTATTAGTGAAAATGTCAATGATAATGGTGAAGGAATCCACATAAATATTCTTGGTCAAAAAAATATACCACATTGCCACAGAATAGCCTGAAACTAAAACAGCAAGAAATAATAATAACAGTAATATTGTTTTATGTCTTGAGATGGCCTATATCTGGAGGAAAACAACCTCCCCACTAGGTTCATAGCATAATGCACTTGCAAGGAAGCTTCAGACCTTTGCTGTTACCTCCAAAGAATAGTCCAAGAAACATATCTGGAGATCTTAGGTAAGTTCTTAACCTTGAGAACAATGAATGAGAAAGAGAAGTCCCAGATTAAAAAAAAAGTAATCTGAGACAAAACCAACAGAGAAAAACAAAAATCTCAAAGAAAGGGAAAAAAGATTCCTGGGAAGGCAGAGTTCGTTTTGGAAACAGACAGTTTAAAAACAACAAACAGCAACATAAAAAGTACATGGCAAAGTTCTTCCAAGGTTGTAATAGTAGAAACGCAGCCAGACTTCCTATGCCTCAGTGACCAAGTAGGCACATTTTCCCCTGAAGGTTCTGACGCCTTTGCTCTCCATCTCAATATGTTCTCCTGATAGTCTTTGGGTGAGAGAGAGTACCATGGCCTTTGTGTTACAGCTGGTGGAGGGTCTGTAATAGCGAGTGTCGAGCATAAGAGCAGGGATCCAAAGCACGGTTAGGCCTATGGAGATAAAATGGAAATGATGAGGGAATAAACTTTTTCTGCAAAATTTCTTAAACTGCATTGATACTTAAAGAGGAAGTACAAACTGCCATTCTGCCCAAGAAGAATTCTGAAACTTTTCATACACAATTATCAAATATTTTAAAGAAATATTGAAGATTTATATAACATCAAGGGAAACTGTACTTATTTTCTACTTTACATGAGAAGGCTGCTGTGGACAGGAAAAATTCTGAGTTTAAAATGTTGATATGAAGCACAATATCAAATTTGTGCAGCAAAAGCGAAAGAAAATCTCTCCAAAGGAGGCAATTCTCTCCATGACTTCAGCAGCCTACATTCACTAACACAAAGGCCATGGATAAGCAAGACAATACACCTTGCAAGTTAGACTTCCACAACTTTTGGTGTGTGATCTCAGCACCAGCTTTCACTATGAAATGCATTCAGATTTCATGTAGTATGTATTATACAAGCAGAGAGTAATAATACTGTTTGATTAATTTTACACTAGAAATAATCTACATTAGAGATTATTAAGGAAAATAAAATTTTCAATATTTCTTTCTGCATCAACTAAGAAACTCTCCATAATATTTCACTGGAAGATTTTTCACTTTTTCTAACTGCTTTTGGATTGAAAGGAAAATCTAGGATCATAGAATATATATTCAGCACATAGTGGAAAAAAGAAACATACATAGTCCTTGACTTCAAGTGAATTATGACTGTCATGTCATTAAAACTCAGTTGCTTGGCAACTAGCATGTACTAATGATAGTTGCAATGTACCAGGATCATGTGATCACCTTTTGCAACCTTCTGACAAGCAGTGTTAATGGAGAAGCCAGGTTCACTTAACAATCGTCTTACTTTTTACAATGGTAATCTACTTAACAACAGTGGCAAGAGAAGTCATAAAATGGGGCAAAAAAACAACTGTCTTGCTTAGCAATAGACATTTTGGCCTCAATTGTGGTCATAGATTGAGGACTATCTGTTAACATCTTAATGTAAAAATGCTATATTGTACCCAGTTTTATTTATTTATTATAGTTATTCTCTAAGTCATAGAGAATTTAACAAGTAATAACATTTAGACAAATGTTGGGAGCAAGTGCAGCTCCTATAAAAGAACAATTCTTTGACAGTGTCAATATTGTCCATTACCTTTTCTCAACAATAGGTTCAGGAACACTAATTCCCATGAACTATTAGATTCCCCCTCCCCATGTATTGCTAATCTTTCCACTGAGATCACAATACTCACTTTGTGACAAAGGCCAAGAGAATTGGGACAAGGGACTTGGGAAAATAATCCTGCTGGACCATGTGGTTCAGCGTCATCAGAGGGCCATAAAGGCTCGGAACAGCTCTGATCTTCTCTTCACTCTGAATGGTAAAAGAAAAAAAGGAAGATTAAAAGGAGAGTTAGTATATCTAGAGAGGCCAGCAAAATTTGAACAGTATTGTTCTCACCACCTCCCATAACCACACAGAATTCATTTTGTTCCATTCTGCAAACATTCCAGCAATCCTTCAGCAACCTTTCTAAATTCAGACACTGAACTGGGATAGCTCCATATTCATTTTTTTGTCTCCCAAAATAGTATGGTGTGATGCCATCATATTGATTCAATTTTCATAAAGATTGATAGAAGATAGAATTTCGCATTAAATTATTGCTTGAACATACCAAGACTTGATCTTTGCCTTTCCAAATATAAATACAGATAGACCTCAACATACAACTATTTGTTCAATGATTGTTCAAAGTTATAAGGGCACTGAAAAAAAAGTGACATATGACCCATCCTTATACTTATGACGGTTGACTCATCCCCACAGTCACATGATCAAACTTTGGATACTTTTCAACTGGCATGTAATTACAAACGGCTGCAGGAAGTTGGACTAGAAGACTTCCAAGGTCCCTTCCAACTCTATCATTCTGTAATTACATGTGCCATCATACCTGGTATGAGATTGTCACCTACTGTGCTTTTTGGAATAGAAAATATACAATCAAACCTCACAGCTATCAAAAATCACCTGTCTCTGTCTACTTACCTTTAGCAATCCCATGTGAATCAAAAGACTTGTTATGAAAGCATCAGAATTGAAGTTGGCTGATGAAAAAGCTTCTCCCATCAAAGCATCTAAAAAGATCCAACTGTATTAGAAACATGGAAACCTCAGTCCTTAGGGAAATATCATTTGATTTTGGCCTACTGCCTATGTCCCATAGTCTAAAGAAAGACAACATGTTTAGCATCACAGTCCTCCTAACAATTTCAAATATTTAAAAATAAACCCAAAGGAAAAAATAAGTAGCTGCAACTCCCATTACTATGCACATTATTTCAGGATCCAAGAGCATGAATTAAGTTCCTATAGTGAAAGGCAACATATTTTTATAGAAATAAGCAAAACTAATTTTAAATTGACTTCTTTTGTAAAATAGTGCATAAAAAGGAACATTCAAAAAACTAGCATCTGGCCCAATCTCCATATATTTGATCTCCTGAGCTACAGGAGACTATAGCTGAAATTGTCAAAAAGAGAGAGGTTATTAAGAATCTGATGGCAACTTTATCAAATAGGTTTTTATACACATGGATCTGCTTATATCATCATTGTACTGATTAAAGCCTTTAAAAAAAGACATACCTGTTATTTCACACACTGCTGTTTTTACTACGGTCTCATCTTTGAAGACAGAAGAGATCTTAAGGAAAACAGTAACAACTTTTTCTGTGTCAGATGTGTCTGTCTAGAAGAAATATAATATCAAAATTAAAGGTGTTACAATAGTTTGGCACTAGAAAGAGAACAGGTGGCCAGTGCAATTAACTTAACCTCATAAAAACTGAAGAACAGAACTACTGAACAACTAGCCATGGTGCCCAGAAAAATGTGTTTTGTAAAATATTAGCAACGGTTTACCTGCTGAATTATCAACGTCGAACACTTGGGGCCAAGTCGC